ACCCTGATTTTTGGGGTTTTGGGGTTTGCCCCTTAGACCCAAAATTTTTTTTTTTTTCCCCCCTTTCCAAAGGGCCCCCCGATTTTTTAAAATTTTTTTTTTTTTGGGGGCCCCCCGGTGTTTGAACCCCCCCCCTTTGTTGGGGCTTTTTCCGGGGTTTGTTTTTTTTTTTTTCCGTTTTGGGGGGGCCTTTTTTCCCCCCCCCCCCCCCCCCCCCCAACCCCTAGGCCCACCACGAGTCGAAGCATACGAAGCTGCCTTGGGACCCGTCGCTTTACGAAGACGTGCAGGCCAAGCACGGTGGGACGACGCAGGGTGTGGCCGTGAGGGGAACCACCAATGCCAAGAAGCTCAAGGTGTGTGTATGTGTTTGCCGTTAGCATCGACGGCGCTACAACAGCCGTCTGACCGATGAAAAGACGCCAGTCGTAGTGCGGGGTAAAACACGAGCGTGTGTGCGTGCGTGTTTTTTCTTTCTTTTGCATGGACTGCCCTAACCGGCTGACCAATGAGTAGGCGTTAGTCTTATGGCGGGATAAACAACGCGAACGCGTACTCTAATGGATGGGTTTTTCTAATGAATGGGTTCTAACCTGAGGGGCGCAGGCGTTGGACGACAGAGTCTTGCTTCTTGGGGTACCAATACTGTCTGTGTTCGAACTAGCATCGACCGCGCTAGCCGGCTGACCAATGAAAAGACGCCAATCGTTTACAGCGGGATAAGAAAACGTGTGTTCATGTTCGTCTTTGTTGTCAGTTGTTAGCATCGACCACATCAAGGGGCTGACCGATGGAAAGACGTCAGTCTCAGCGCGATTAAGGCACGGAAACCGCTTGTCTGCGTGTGCCTGTGTGTCTCGTGACAAAAACATCGACCGTGTTTGGTGCATAAAAAGGAGGGGTCAGGCCCCACCCCTCTCAAGTCGAACAGCGTAGAGCATGGGCCAATCACACGCCCCGCGTGCTGTAGAGCGCGCAAGGGTCCGCGGCAGGAGTAGCAGGAGGCTGACCGACACCAGCGTGCCCTGTGGACATCGTCCTTTATTTGCGCGGACGAAACGCGAAGCGTCTTACCGAAACGACCCGAAAAAGTTCATTGGAAGCGTATTTTGAACCGTTTCGCGTGTTGCCAGCCGCACGTCCAAACGTTCCCCTTACAAGCAACATGTCACGCACACGCCCCCATGCATAGATTTGTTTGCTTCGGCAGTCTGGGCGCCGCCCGTTCTCGGAAGGTTAGACTCCGTGGGCCTTCTTCATTTTTTCCGGCTGGCACTGAGTTGTTTTCATTGGTCAGCCGATTAGCGCGGTCGATGCAGGTTACAACCACGCACACTGCGTTCACGTAGATTGTTGCATTTCTGTCCCAAAAGGGTTTCTAGAGAGGTTTCGTCTCGGCACTCCGGGCGCCGGCCGCGCATTCTCCGAACTTTGGCTGACCAATGAAAATACCTTCAGTTTGTGTTACGGTCTGACGCTGGCAACGTTCAATGGGCGGCCGGGTGGTCGGCTCAACGAAATTGATGCCGGCACTTGAACGTGGCGACCCGTATTCCTAATACGTGGACCGCAGTATCTACAAGACTTCAGACTATAAAAAACATTTTCTCCGCCGTTGTTCTCCGGCCCTTTTGTGGCGGCACAACAAGGCCACTCTCTCTTCCCTCCCTGTTCGTCCCTTCTGATACCTCATTTTCTGGCTTGTGGTGGCCTGTGCTCATGTTTTGTTTGTTTCGACGTGATTTTTTCTTTTTTTGACAGGGCAAGAACCCCAAGGCAGACCTCGATGACTTGCTCGCAGCCGGACTACGCGCGGGCAAGAAGTAACCCCGGTCGCAGCCACGGGGCCGCCCGTCCGCCCTGCTTACTGCCTTGTAGACCAGGCGTAATGCTATGGTGTTTCTTGTTGCTGCGGAGGGCGAGATTGGGACGGGAAAGGAACCGTACCGGACCAAGCCGTCGCAGCTTGTCCCACCGTGCTGTGCGAGCGTGTGAATAAAGGGTTGAGGGCTTGATTTGTCTTGCTGGCGTTGTTGAGTTAACCCCACAGCGCGGAAAAAAAATGCGCTGGCGACTAGAGGGATGCGTCCGACCCATGCCCTGGGGTTGGACCTGGGGGGGGGAGACAGACAGCAGTCGCGGGAGGCACGCTCGTGGGATAAGATTTGACCAGTGTATCTGTATTTTTGTGGCGTGGGCAACAAGCCACAGGCAAGCAGCGGGGCGTGTTACTGCTTGGCGATGGTAGTGTCGCCTCCCCTGACTACCTTCGTCCACCCCCACCCCCCCCGGAATGCTCCTCCGCGTGCTCGCGCTACTGACATTGTCGAGGGGTTAGCTGCTGTTGCGGCTGCTGTCTGCCGGTGCCATCATCATTTTATATCACAAATTGCGCGTGAGAGAGATTCCACGCGCTGGTCTTGCCCACACGATGGTGTAAGGTGTCACATATCTGCTCCGATTGTGTTCGTGTTCGTCCATGTAGCTGCCCGGGGATGATGGGTGGGACCGGGGGGGGGGTGGGGGGGGTGTAGTTATGATTTGCATTCCTCAACGGTTAGACCATTGACAAGTCGTCCTCGAGAGGATTGGAGCATTGTTCCCCCCGGCCCGATCCCCGAGTGGCCAATGTTTCCTTCCTATTTTCCCAAGGGCGGCTGGGTGGGGGGGGGGGGGGGAGGCTCTCGTTCATCCCGGCCCATGCGGTAGCGTGAGCTATTGAACTAGACAGGGAAGCAGAGCGTTTTCGCGCGATGATGATCACCAAACCGTGATAGCCCGCTTCCAGAGGCTGTTGGAGATAGCGGGATACTTCCGTACGCAGTAGTAGTACCCGATTTCGCTGTTTGTGTTGTTTGTTTATGTGTCGAAAGGGGCAAGAGAGTGATTCAGCTACGGAGCCTGCACCGCTGGCACTAATATTTTCGTTTTGTCTGCGGCAGCCCTGTTTTTTCTCTCCTGTTGGGCCCTGTGTTTCGCACATCCCCTACTGTCGGTGTATGTTGGGGCGAATCGACGTGTCCGGGCAACATGATCACCAAACAGTGATAGCCCGCTTCCAGAGGCTGTTGGAGAATAGCGGGATACTTCCGTACGCAGTATTTGTAGTAGTACCCGATTTCGTTGTTTGTGTTGTTTGTTTATGTGTCGAAAGGGGCAAGAGAGTGATTCAGCTACGGAGCCTGCACCGCTGGCACTAATATTTTCGTTTTGTCTGCAGCAGCCCGATTTTTCTCTCCTGTTGGGCCCTGTATTTCGCACATCACCCACTACTGTCGGTGTATGTTGGGGCGAATCGACGTGTCCGGGCAACAGGTGCCCAAGCGCGTCGATGGTACATACATGATTTCAGCGGTTCTTCACAACAACAGCAATCGATGTCGTTCGTCCCAGCGGCTTGCCTTTTTATTGTCACGCCTACATAGCCTGTGTGCAAATGTTATGCAACAAGGCCCAATAGCTGCGTGCGGCGGTGCTGTTGGTTTCGACAGTGTCTCCCCCCAAGAAGAAATCGTGTTCGGAACCTGAGGTAGTATCTAGCTCTAATTCCCACTTGTGCGATGTATTCCATCCATACCGATGCGTGTGCGTATGCATATGTATGCTTACAGTAGTAGATACCTGCACACGGCGGCTGTCGTGCATGTCCTCTGCTACCAACCGCACAGCGTGCAACGTGCATCATCCCCCCCGCGCGATAGACACAGCAATATATCGGCGAGCCTCCCCTAACAACTGTTCACAGCAGAGCAGCCTCTCTGTAGACTACGCGATACAAAATTGCTTACAAGTACCTGTACAATGCATAATTGATGACATCCATGTTTTCTCTTGTGGATCCAAGATCCAGACAACAACAGGTTCTTGTTCTCACAAAACACTCAAGGGGCCGCGCGTAGTCCAAGCCGACACCACAAACGAAAAGGGGCCAAGCTTCTGCGGCAAACATCCAATCACACATGGCAGCGAAACGCCGTGTCCCTCCCACACTCCGGTGTTAGAGTAGCGGGGGCAAGCAACAAGCCCGGCGGCGGCGGTGGCGGCGGCGGCGCAACATATATCTTTGGCGTCGTCAGCATTTTTCGCTCCATCTACCTCTCTCCATCTACTCGCACAACGCTGGTTTGGTGCGAAACGCAACTCACAAGTAGCTGTTGCGCGTGTGCGCTATTCGCGGCGCGGGAGAGAGCGAGGCAGCAGAGAGAGAGCGAGCAAGCGAGAGAGAGAGAGAGAGAGAGTGAAGGGAGACCAAGGACAGACGTTGTCCTATTGCTGGCGCCTGGGGCTTCGTCCAGAGAACAGGTGGGTGGGTGTGCAAAGTGTTTTGAGACTTTTTCTTGAGAATAAGACAAAACACACCCGCGGGTGTTGTGTCGCAGGACGAACGTATTCTCCGTTCTAGCGGCCGAAGCGATGGGAGACAGCAGAGAGAGAAGAGAGGGGGGGGTAGCAACGGAGGGGGGCAGAGAGCGAGGCGTGTGGGCGCCCACACCCGTACCTTTGCCGTTGCAAGCACCCCAGGCCTTGTGCAACGAGGTCAGGTGGGATTCCTCCGTTGGTTGTCTCTTTGCCCCCCTGTGGGTGTTCTCCAGCGGCTCGCAAACTCGAGGGCTTGCAGGTGTTCGATTCTAAAATCAAGACACAATCGACAGAGAGAGAGAGGGGAGGTAGCCCACACACCCTTATCAGAACGTGCAATATCGTTCTGCAGCTGGTGCACAGCCCTCTCCCCTCTCGTCGCCTGCCGTGGCGAGCTTTCCACCCACCAAATGAGAGGGTCGATCAAGAACGGACTGGACACGGCCGCCACTCCCTCCCGAAATCAATCGTTCTCGGCGCAAATTTTTTGGGGACTGACTCCTACTTTGTGCTCTTCTTCTTCGCCATCGCCATTTGTGAGAGTGCGCGTCTTGTGTTTTTTCTGCGGCCCGGAGAGGTTAACTAGCAACCGCAGCTTGCCCGTAGACGGGGGGCGAGCGTTGCCATTAGTCGCGCCGTGCGCCCAAGGGTTCTCGTGCGCCGAGCTTGCTGCTGCTGCTGCTGCTGCTGCTGCTGCTGCTGCTGCTGCTGCCTCTGCGCATTGTCTCTCAGCAACAACGCGTCGCCGTACCCTCTCCCCCGACACACACACGCATCACTCAACCTTCTTTGGACCAAAAAAAAGTGCAATAAAACACCACCGGATTTGTTGAGAGAAGAAGGAATAATGAAACACGAGAGACTTTTTGGCCCAAGAGAGAGAGTTGTGATGGCCGTTGAGCCAGCAGCAGCAGCACCGTCCCGTTGTTGCCGTGGCGCAAAGCCGCCGTGCCCTAGCAGTCTGTGCGTCTTTGCGTTGCCTGCTGGGTGTGCTTCCTAAGAACCAGCGGGCATGTACAAGGTGCTCTCGGCGGCAAGAGCTCGCCGTAATGCCGCCGAATGACCCGTGTGTGCCGAGACGCGAAAACTCTCTTGTGCTTCTTCTCGGAACCATATGTATGCTACGCGTACGTGTCTGGAGGGGGAGTTTTTGCGCGCCAGGGAGCAGCAGTAGGGTTTTAGGTTCCGTTGTAAGAGGTTGATGTGCGCAGCAGCAGCAGCAGCAGCAGCAGCAGCAGCAGCGCGTGTGTTGATGGAAGGTACTGGAGCATCATTTATTTGCCCCCACGAAGTACCGCATGTCTTGGTGAAAAATATATACCAACACGGCCTGTGGGTGTCTCATGCACCATGGGGAGGGGATAGGCTTGCTGCCTTGGTGCCTACTCCCTTTCGCGTAACCAGCGTGGAAATGGTGGCAATGTCATCAGCTGGAACAGAAAAAACATGCAGCAGAGTTACCATGACGAGAAAAAAGCCTTGGCATGCAAGCCTCATCGCTTACCTCATTGGCAAGAAATCGCCGGTCTTCCCATGCATTTGTTACTTGGCGAGTTTTAATGAAGCTGGGATAATGCGTGTTGCCATCGTTGGTAGACACCTCTCCCCCTCCGTTGTGTCTCCCTGCCCACCTGCTGTGTCTATTTTTGTTCCGTCTTTTGGCACGACCACTGGCGAAGCAAGGTCAGGGCTGCTGTGCGTTCGCGCTGTTGTGGAGGGGGAGTGAGTGACCCATGGGTGTTGATAAACTGCGTATGGTATCAGCATTGATGTATTGTATCAGGCCTGAGCTGTTTTCGGTAAGCGAGAAGGTGCCCCGTCCTTTGCAGCTGTGTCCGCTTCTTCTTCTTCTTCCCTGCTGTCGCCGTCAAGAAATTCGCTGACATGCATTTGATCTGAGATGGATAGATACTACATACATACCCCCGGGGACGACACAAAAAGGCATCGCAAAACATGAACGATTTAATATTCGTGTGGTACATTTTGTAGCTGACCGCTCTTCGTTTTTTTGTGGTCCGCGCTACTGTACCGCCGACGAACCGTGAGCCGGCAGCCCTCTCATGTACGGGAAGCGAGTGGGGGTGGTGCTATCTGTACATGGGTCTCTCGGCAAGAATTGTTTTACTTAAATAGAACCGCTCAAGATAGAAGGGTGTCTGTTTGCAAGGGATGCTCGACTTCCAGCAGCACCCGTTCCGCACCCCAGCCTGTACCTGTACCCGCGAGAGAGGAAAGAATAGAAGTACCATGTGCAAACATGCGCGTGAAACGCGCGTAGTTTGCATACTGTAGGTACAGCGCACGAAATTTTTGCAGCCTCCTTTTCTCTCGTCAAGATGCCCCCCAGAACTCGGCTAGACTGGTGTCTGTTGCTGCTGGGTTAGACCCCTTGTCTGGAGGCATTGGTTATTTTTCTCTTTTTTTGCTGCTTCTGCTGCCCTCAGCTGCCTGCTCTCCGTCACCAACGTCTCTAAGTAGACAAGCCTCGTACATATGTAGCGCAGGAATTTCCCAGCCCCTTCCTCTGCCTCGACGTTTCGGATGTTCCAGCGGCTGTTGGCCTCGGTGTCAGCGGTGGGACAATCTCCCTCCCTGCTGTTGTAATAACCTTGTCCCAGCAGGAGCATCCCCCCACACACCCACCCACCCCCGTGCTGTGTTGCTCTGTTGCAACAGCACCCAAACTACAGCACATACGCCCTCGCCTTCGCCCCCGTCCGCTGCAGAAGTCCACCATTGGGATGAGCGCTTATTCTTGGTGATGGGGTATCGGCGTAATGTCGATACCCCGTACCCCCCGCCCTCCAGGTACCTCTCGCGCCGCCCCCGCTCGCTTCACCTCTCGCCTGTTGATGTATTTTCACCTTACTCCTCGGGTTCCTTGGTGTTTTAACACAGGGCTTTTTTCTCCCATTTAGGCTTGTTCGGCGTGCAGATGAAGACAAGATAGCCCTTATCCCCAGCAGGGTTTTTGTCACTGCTGTGCCTGGCAATCAACCAACCGGAAGTGGCCTTGGCTCGTGATGATGTCACTGCGACCGCTGTTGGCTTGCGTGTAGTATGCGCGCTTTCGAGTAGATCGGACTCCGCGGTAATCGCAAACAGCGGATGAGATGGCACAGTTTTAGGATTCGTTGATACGGGGGGGAAGAGATTGATTTCCGCACGAACACTTTTTGCTGCTGCTGTAGCAGACGGCGTGATGATTTTAGAACAGACACACGGACGCCGCCACGTAAATGGTGTGTTGGTACATGCAGCAGCTGTCCCATATTTTCCTAGGTCCACTTGGCCGACCTCCTACCCAAGGTTGACTGTTGTTTTTGCACGAGCCTGCACTGCAACTGAGTACAGAGCCGAGGTTGGCCTGGCCGGGGGGGGGGTCGGCACCCCCTCAAGCTTGAAAATTATTCACACCCTGTACAACCTTAACTAATAACTGAGTTAGTTGTTTGCCAGACAACTACCGGCTAGTTGTTCGTAAACACCTAGTTGCGCACGCTCCTGGAAGAGTAGTTGTCTACAGGCAACTAATAGGTGCGCACATATCTGAACCAGTAGTTGTCTACAGGCAACTAGGTGCGCACGCTCCTTGAAGAGTAGTTGTCTGCAGGCAACTACGTGCGCACAAATTTGAACCAGTTGTTGCTGGCAGGCAACTAGGTGCACACGATTCTGGAAGAGTAGTTGTCTGCACGCAACTAGGTGCGCACGATTCTGGAAGAGTAGTTGTCTGCAGACAACTAGGTGCGCACGCTCCTGGAAGAGTAGTTGTCTGCAGGCAACTAGGTGCGCACGCTCCTGGAAAAATAGGTGTCTGGCGTACAACTACCAACTAAAGTAGTTGTACAGGGTTTTCCACCAAGCAGAGAAAATCAAGGTTTTGTCTGACTGGTACTACGAGGTACTTGATTTCATGTGACCGACGTTCTTACCTCAACCAAGCGCTGAGTCCTTCGCACCAGTCTGATGGCTGCGATACGCTCCCCTGTTGTCACCGGCTTGCCCAATGGGACGAATTACCACAACACTGAGACAACGAATGTGGTACGGTACGGTGTGGAAATTTGGAAAATGGCAGGGTTTTTTTTCTTTCGGCTGCACACAAGAAAGGTAACCCTGAAGCCCACGTCGGGGGTTGCGGAGACTTGCAAAAGAAATTTCAACGAAAATTCTAGCACACGCTCCTCGCCTACAGTAGCTGCCCCGTCCCATGTAGATTATGACGACCCGCGCTCCTTTTTTTGGAAGGCGAATGGAGTAGCCACCGCCACCAGCAGTAGTGCTACATAGCAGTAGCGCTTGTAGTAGTTCTGGCAGTAGTGATATCAGCAGTGATAACAGTAGCGCTTAGAGTAGTACTGAATTTCCTCGAGGTGGAGGATTGGACCCCTCCCAGAACACGGCGGATCTGTTCCTGTTCGTGGCATTTTCAAGTACATGTATGTGTCTTCGTCGTGCTCAACACGCGCGTTCGTGCGGCGTCGGACAAGACCTTGGCGTCACTCACCTTCCGTCCGGCGGACTTTCCCCGGCATTGATATGGCCATTGGTGCTGTATACATGCACATGCACACATACTGCCTTGTCCAGAATGACGGTTGTATTGACGCTCCCCCGCCCGCCTCCTCGATACACGCATCAAATTGACGGTTTTGAAGAGCGTTATCGTACCGCCGCTAGTAGAGTACGCCGGAGAAGTATGGGAAGGAAATAAGAAGGTAGTGACAGAACTCGAGGCCGCGCAGATGAAAGCAGCGAAAATCATCCTAGGATGCTCCAAGCGCACAAGTAATGCAGCCGTCAGGGCAGAATTGGGGATCCAATCCCTACGGTCGGGAAGAGACGCAAGGAAGCTGACATGGCAGTATCGCATGTGCGGGATGGGAGAGGAGAGGTTGCCGAAAATAGTATGGGAGGCGAAGTGGGCAAACAAAAAGAGGGGTAGACAACCCACGGAATGGGTCAAGGTTGTAGAGGACGTATGGAAGGGGTTAGACATCGACGAAGATGAAACGCTGGAAACGGAGGGTCTACAGGGGTTCAAGGAGAAGATATCTGTTGCTTGTGCCGAGAGAGAAAAACAGAATCTAAAGAAAGAAACCAAGGATAAGGAGGGTCTAGAAGTGTACGGAATGTTGAAAGAAGGAATAGGGTTCAAGGATTACCTTCATGGACCAATGGATGCAGGGACAAAGCTTAAGGTCAAATTCAGGACCGGGAACATAGGCCTTCGAAAACGTCGACGAAGACAAAGGACGGTAGACGACGAAGACGACAAGTTCACATGTGATTGCGGCTTCGAATGCGAAGACCGTAATCATGTAGTCGCGGAAAGTCGGTGGTAGGAAGAGGAGAGGGAAGTGTACATGACTGAGCTGGGAAAAATACAAGGGACGTACGGGGAGATGTTTGACGCATGGAATAGAGAGGAGAGACGGTAGCTGTACTGGGGCGTAGGAAGTGGTTTGAAGGGATATCGTTAGGATAGACAGACTAGGGAAGACATTTTTGAGCCACCTTTGGCAAAGTAGGAAGGAACGATTGGCCATCGGTGATCGGTCCTGTGGGAACAATGCTCCGTCCTCTCGAGGACGCGTGGTCAATGGTCTAACCGCTGAGGCATGCAAAACATAAACATTACCACCGCCTCCTCCCCCCCCGTTCTCCCATGATGTTCTGCAGCCTCTCGACCCTGGAAGCTACGGGCCCGCTGCGCGGATTTTTGGGCCTGCGTACGGCCCTCTCGCAGCCAGTGTTGGAAGAGAGCAGAGGGGGGCAGGAAACGAGAAGCGGACTTTGGGAGCCCTTTGACTGTTACCATCTGGGGGTGTGTGGGGTGCGTGTTTTTTTTCTCGCTCCTCCTCTTCCCTTATTTTTTTATTTTCGGTCCTGAGTGGGTGCCTCTCTTGCTTGCGGCTTGAGAAGGGAGAGTCGCTTCGTCTGAGGAGGAGGCGAGGCACTACCACCACCAGCAGCCTCTTGGTTGCTCAGCCACTTGCTGCCATGGCGACGTTTTTTGAGTCCGGTACCTGGGTGTGGATTCCCGATGAGGACGAGGTTGTCCTTCCCGCCAAGGCCAAGTCGGCGTTCCGGCTGGGGGAGCGCGCGACGGTGGTGATGGAGAACGGAACGGTGAGCAGCTGTTGTTGTTGTCGTTGCTGTTGGTTGGTTTGTTTCCCGTCGTCATGGTTGCCCCCCGTGTGTTAATAATGCTCGTCACGCCGCCACTTTTGGTTTTGTTTACCATCATCATCACAGCAGTCCGTGTGTGGTGGTGGTGGGGGGGGGGCTTGTGCTGTCGTCGTGCCACCACTACTGTAATACCACACACGACAGGCCGGTCTCCACGGCAAGTCTAGTTTGTACATTTTGCTGTTTTGGTGTTGCTTGTCTGCTGGTCCCTCTAGCAGCTCGGGGAGGGGAGAGCCCGGGCAGCACGCAAGCAAGAGGGGGATTTTTTTTTTGCGCCCCCCATGCACTCTTTTCCTTTTGGCGATGTTCGCTTCCCATTTTTGTCGCTATTAGCCTGGTGGGTTTAGCGTAACACACGAAGAGTTGCCGGAGCAAAAAAAAAACATGTTCCCTCCCGAACTAGCGTGGGTGATGTTGCGCGTTTCTTTTGCGAATCTAGATTCAAGATGAGGGTCTCTATTCCGTGAGGGGGGAATGGGCGGGTTGTGTTTTCCCGTACGCTGACGATCGTTGTGGTAGCTGTGTCCATGGTCGACCCGTTGTCACGTGTTCCTCCCTCTCTCCCTCCCTTGCTCCCCTACTCACTCACCCTCTCTCTCTCTCTCTCTCTCTCTCTCTCTCTCTCTCTCTCTCTCTCTCTCCCGTGCTCCCCCCCCCCCCCCTCTCTCTCCCCACCGCTGACCTTATGTCAAAACCTCGCCCGCCTCAACAAACCCCATTCTTTAACCCACAAAAAAACCCCTACTCCACCCTGTTCCACCCCCACTCTATAGACCCCAAAGTGGACAACCTCACTGTCCTCCACCACCTCAACAAAAACTCCCTGCTCAACATCCTCCGGACGCGTTTCCGCAAGGACATGATCTACTCCAACATCGGGACAATTTTGGTGTCCGTGAACCCTTTCAAGCCCCTGCCGCTGTACACCCCGCAGCAGGTGAGCGGGGGGGACAGAGCGCAGGGGCGGCGGGGGGCGGGAGTACTCGTCCCCGCGTGCAAAACAATGTGCTAAAGAGTAGCATTCGAACAACAGGCGTACGGCGGGCTCTTTGTGGGGGGGTAGTAAACATATAGGATTTGCAGGCAGGGGATGGGGGAATAATAAAGCGGAGTTTTTCTGGACGGGTCTCGTGGTGCCGGAGGCCGGTGATGATGGTGAAGCACTCTCCGCCAATGCGTTGGTGCCTGCGCTTTGGCTCTTGCTAGCTCGTGCACCGCACCATTTCTTTCTCTCTTTCCCGTGCTTCCCTCTATTCCGTTGTCTTGGTTGCCACCGCCTCTGAAACACGGCAACAACCAAGCCCTCTCTACACCATCCTCCAGTATCCACTTGTTAAACCTGCTCCGCCCCCCCGCCTTGTTGTTTTCAGATGGAGAGGTACAAGGAGGGTCCGAGAGGGAAGCCACCCCACGTCTTCAGCGTTGGTCACCGCGCCTACTACGAGATGCTGGGCGAGCGCAAGCCTCAGGTGAGCGCTTGGCCCACCCGCCGCTGTGCGAGTTCTGCTGTAGATGGTCCCGGCCTTGCTACCGCGTAGGAAAAGAAGAGATTGACCGCTGCTGTTCTATCTCTTAAATATTTGATGGTCATGGTCTTTCCAGAGTAGGGAAAGGGGGGATGGGGCGCGGGGGGGGGGATTTCTGACTTTGCTGCAGCACCTTGACCTGATGGGAGGCGGCCGACGGGAGGGTTTTTTGACTTCGCTGCAACAATTTTTACTGATGGGAGATGGATTAGTGGGGGGGCACCTATACACTCTTTTTTTTTCCCTCTGCTTGTCGTACGTTCCGACCCCCCCAAGATGCAGCAGCGATCGATTCATCGAAGCAAGAAACGCGGATGCTTTATCCCCACCCCCCGGCCCCAACTCCCTCTACCTTTTGTCTCACATCGTGTTTTTTGGACACCTTTTTTTTTTCCTCTTCTGTGAACTCTGAAGAGCGTTATCATTACGGGGGAATCCGGAGCGGGCAAGTCGGAGGCTTGCAAGCTGGTGCTGCAGTTTATCGCCGACCTCAGCGCGGCGCATTCCGGCCGCACGGTCACGGAGGACGAGCAGTCGTTGGAGCAACAGCTGCTACAGGTGCGCTACGTCTGTTTTTCTTGTGTTGTCAGCACTGCTGTGTTTTGGTTTTATTGTCGCTGGCATCAGATGAGCCATGATACGTCGGTGTTTTTTTTTCATTGTTAGCATCGACCGCGCTAACTGGCTGACCGATGAAAAGAAGTCAGTCTTGTAACGGGGTAAACCAGAAAATTCTTCTTGTGTGTGTAAATTAGTTCGTAGCCGACCAAAATAAGACGTCAATCGTGCAGCGGGCGTGTGTGTGTGTTGATTATTGGCATAGACCTAACTGGCTGACGAATGACAATTCGTCCGTCTCTCCAACAACGGGAAACGCCCCCGAAGTGTGTGTGGGTGTTTGTTGGATACACAAGAGTTGCAGTGCGCCCCAAAACACCTTTTTTTCCTTAAAAAACTGTTTTGTTTTGTTTTGCTTTTCAACACCAGGCAAACCCTATCCTCGAGGCGTTCGGTAACGCCAAGACGGTGCGTAACGACAACTCTTCGCGTTTCGGAAAGCTCATCACCATCAAGTTCGACCCCATGGGTGCCATCTGCGAGGTGAGCTTCTTCAACCCGTGACCCTCGATATTTTTTTCCAGTCCACAATCCCATCATTTTTTGCCAACACCAACCCACCCAACCCGTGACTCTGATCTATTCCAGTCCACGCTGTCGTCGTCCCTGCTGGAGAGAAGCTGCGTGGTGTTCCGGGCTAGTAGAGACACCATTGTAGCACTAACACCGACACACCACTCAACCCGCGACTCCTTGCCGTCGTTTCCAGTCCACGCTGGTGTCGTACCTGCTTGAGAAGAGCCGGGTGGTGTTCCAGATGGCGGGGGAGCGGAACTACCACATCTTCTACCAGCTCGTGGCGGGGGCGGACGAGAACCAGGCGTTGAGGGATAGGCTCATGCTGGACGGCTGCGAGGCGTTTAACTACCTCAACCAGTCGGGGGTGACGCGGATTGAGGGGCAGGTGGAGGAGGTAAGGGGCCATGGGCGGGGCGGTGGTGGTCCGAGGGTTGAGCGCAGAGGGATGGGGGGGGGCGTCTACGCATGTGAACGCTTGCGGCATGGGTTTGGGTTAGACCTCGGCGGGGGAGGGGGGGGGGTCGTTTGGTGTGAGGATCGTGCTTTTTGAGGATGCTGGTTGACGAATCCACGTCCGTGAAGGGGTACGAGTTTGAGAAGACAACGATGCAGGCGAGGAGTCAATCGGTGTTTTCGGCGTGCGACGGCAGGAGAATCACGTTCCATGGTATTGGGAGGTGTTTAAGCGCTCTGGCGAGAGCGTTGTGTCGTGTCGTTGCCGCTCTCGTGACCCTACCACTGTTGTACACGTAGCTTCTCCCAAACGAGCGGAAACCGAATGGCACACTGGCAATCCCTCCGCCCCCCGTCCCCCGCGCTCTCCTTCCGTTCTTGCTTTTTCATGCCTCCCTCCAATTACTGCTCCTGTCGCACCCCCCCTTTTTTTTTTTTTTCGTGAACCGTCAGGTTGATTTCGACGAGGTCCGCAACGCCATGGACACCCTCTTGTTCACGCAGGACACGAAGGACACGATCTGGTCCATCCTGGCAGCGGTGCTCCACCTCGGCAACGTCGCCTTCACGGACAAGCGCAACCCGGACGTGGACGAGGTGGCCAAGGTGGCCAACAAGCAGACCCTCGCCTTCGCCGCCAGCCTCGTCGGCTGCGACCCTAAGGTACCGTGCCTGCCTGCCTGTCTGCTTACCTACCTCCATACATTTTGGCAACCCGTTACTCGAAGTACAATGTATGTGGCGAAACAAAAGCTGTAGTTCGCGGAGCCTCCCCTCTCGGCCACTTTCTCCCCACTTCGCGCGGCCAACATGGTCAGACCGTACCTACCTACGTACGCACGTTTTCCACCCCTATGTTTATGTATGTGACAAAAGGAGCCATAAATGTAGTTCGTGGAGACCCTACCACGCCCGCACTCTTGGCACCCAACTAACTCCTGTTTTCTATGCAACACGTGTGTGTCTGCCTTGTCTGTCTGTGTTTGCTGTGCAGTTGCTGACGAGCTGCCTGACCATGCGGAAGCTGAGCACGGGCAACGTGGTGGTGCCCTACAAGGTGGACGAGGCGGGCCACACGAGGGACGCCATGACCAAGACTCTCTACTCGCTGCTGTTCGAGTGGATCATCAAGCAGATCAACAAGACGCTGGAGGTGAGCTTTCGCTCTCTGTCCTTCGCTGCTGTCGCGAAACGAAGAGAGAGGCAGTTCTACCAACATATGTAGACGGGTTGTTTTCTATGGCTTCCGTGGTAGTACCAAGAATTTCCGAGGATTTCTCGTTGTTGTTCCTCTCGGCTTTTTAACCTTGGTCGCGTTGTGGACATCCTCAGGCGGGCGGTACGTCCAAGAACGGCCGTGGCAGGGGGGGCGGCGGAATGAGCGACTCGATCATCGCCCTCCTCGACATCTTCGGGTTCGAGAGCTTCCAGACGAACAGCTTCGAGCAGCTGTGCATCAACTACTGCAACGAGAAGCTCAACAACCACTTCAACGAGCACGTCTTCAAGGGCGAGATCGCGGCCTACGCGGCCGAGGGGGTGGTGGTTCCCAACCTGGTCTTCAAGGACAACAAGCCTATCCTGGACTTCATCGAGGGCAAGGGGGACGGGCTGTACAGCATCCTCGACGAGCAGGTGAATCGAGTCGCCGATTGGCTCCCTGCTTTTGCTTGCGTGTAGGGGGATAGGGAAGAGACCATCAGGCTTCCGTGAAGAATATGGCAGTGTAGCACGGATTGGCTCTCTCTTGTTTTTATTTGTCGGCGGGGGGGGACTGCAGGAGTATGTGGCAGCAGCGGTTCGGACTTGTGGATTGGCGATCTGTCTTTGCGTGGTCGTTGCCTCTCTCTGTTTGCCCATTTTCTCCCTCTCTCTTTTGCGCCGTGACGGCTACAGCAGTCCACCCCTACAACCACCACTAGATGATGCATTCAAAAGCCGTCTTGAACACTCCCGAGGTCCCGTTGTATTTTTTTTTTTGTGTGTGTGTTTCCAATTTTACTTTTGTCTTGGTCGTTTTTTTTGTGGTTTTCATCTCCGCTCTTTGCGACTACTCGCACCACTTCTCTCGCTCGTCCTCCTCCTCCTCCTACCCGCTCTCCTTCTTGCGACTAGTCACACCCCTCCTCCTCGTCCTCCCACCTCTGCTGCTGCATCCCACCGACCGCAACCGCACGGCGTTGGCTTGACCTACCCTCCTGCCTGCCCGCCTCCGGCAACACCACCAGATCATGGTCAACGGCACCGATGCCAAGTTCTTGTCCAAGGTCCAGCAGATGCACGGCAGCCACAAGCACTACATCATGCCGAAGCGGAACAACTGCCCGGACCCGGACACCCGCAACTGCTTCGGAGTCGTGCACTTCGCCGGAGACGTTTTCTACAACGTCCGCGACTTCGTCGAGAAGAACAAGGTGTGTGTGTGGGGGGGTTGTACGTGTTTTGCCTGGGGTTGGGTGTTGTTGTTGTTGTTGTGCCTGTTTGTTGGATGCTGTAATCGATTTTTTTTTCATTGCTGTGCGTGTGTGCTGTTGCTGTGGTTGGATGCCGCGTGCTGTTGTTGTTGTTGTTGTTGTTCCTGTGTGTTGGATGCTGTAATCGTTTGTTTTTCATTGCTGTGCTATGTGTTATTGCTGCGGTTGGATGCCGCGTTTTGTTGTTGTTGTTACCGCTGTTCCTGTGTGTTAGTTGCTGTTTTCGGTTGTTTTTGGTGCCGTGCTTGCGCGTTTTGTTGTTGTTGTTTTGCTGCCGTGTTGGTTGTCAACGTCATTGTGTTTCTTGTCGCGTGTGTCTGGCGTGCCGTCCTTTGCACATCGACGCACCGTACTGCCAAAAAGTCTCGCCGTACGAAGAACAGAACATGTAAAAACCACGAAAACCGTCGTTTTTCCATCGCTAAATCTTGCTCCGCCCTCGGGGCAACAAATCGTCGATTCGATCTCTGTCTGTCGTGTCAGGACGCGCTGCACTCGGACGTTGTCGAGGCCTTGATGACGAGCACGAACGTGGTGGTGGCGGAGCTCTTCGACCCCGTGGCCGGAAAGAGGGCTGTCAAGGTGGGAGAGAGAGGAGTATCATAGCGTTAGCCTTTGCGAGGATAGTAGTACTCTTGAATTTGGTAGAGGGGGTAGGGCGTGGGTTGGGTGTTAGAGAGGGGGTAGGGGAGGATAAGAAAATATCGAAAAGGCATGACGCACTCGAGTTGCAAGAGAAAAAAAAGCAAAAAAAATAGACATGTAACCAGAAACGGGTACCGATACCTGTGGTCTATCACCATTTTAGGGTACGCTTAGACTTAACACACTGCGCCCCCAGGTAGAGCCCGCTGATTGACCAAAAAAGCCATCTTACCCACTTTCGGAGAAACCTCCATCGGGTACAACCCCCGCTGGCATCTCGACCCTCCAGTGCAACCGATGCTGGTTACTGGTGTACCCGGAAGAGGTCGATTTTGTACCCAGACATGTCAAATAATCCCGGCACTCGACAACTCTATAACCCGCAGAAAAAGACGTGTACCGCACAACCCGCACATTTGCCACACAACCAAACCACCAATGCTCGTTGATGGGCACCGCCTCCAGAGGATATCAATCTCCGACATCTTGGTCCGTAGAGCGCGGCGAAACCAAACCGCCGTGTCCTTGCCCCGGAGGGCAGCTCCTAACCACACACCATACGGTCATGGCCAGCCACCTGACAGTAGGGAAACGCTGCGAAGACACACAGCTTTTGAAGCAAGATATGGCCGCAGTGTTCACGGCAAGGCTGTCTCATAGGAATTCGGCCACTGTAGGGGCTCCGCGTGATCGAATCCTTGTCGTAGTAATAAGAAAAAGAGTCGTTTGTTGTGGGGACTCGCAATTTTAGGTGCACGTTACTCGCTTGGAATCCTATTAATAGCAGTGCTCAGGGATTTGGCCGGTAGATGTGTCTTGTACCGGGTACTGCTGTACTCGGCATGAGACAGCTTGTAGGCCACCGGCCTGGTATTTGCGTGGTTATACAGGTATTTGCGTCGTTATACAGGGTCCATTCGCTGCTACTGCTGTACCATGTACCATGTGGTAGGGTTAAGGTTTTTGTTCTCACGGGTGCGTGTGTTATTTGCTTGCTTGCAAAGACGCATGGCCGCCGTCGCCGCTGACCCTTCTTCTCTCTCTCTCTCTCTCTCTCTCTCTCTCTCTCTTTCTCTCTCTCTCTCTCTCTCTCTCTCTCTCTCTCTGTTTTTCCCTCTCTCTCTTTTTCCCTCTCCCTCTCTCTCCCTCCCTCTCGATCCCTCTCTTTCTCTGTCTTTTTTTGTTTATTATTCAGCGTGATGGAAGCCCCGCCCGGAGAGGGAGCCCGACGCCCTCCAGCCGCAAGGGGGCAATGGCCACCCGCTTCACCATCGCCAAGCAGTTCAAAGGGCAGCTGGATGCGCTCATGTCCACGCTCAACGCCACGGACCCCCACTTCATCAGGTGAGCGGGTGGGGAGAGAAAGAGAGGCAGAAAGACAGACAAGAGGCAGACGGTATACTTTGGGAGGAGAGAGAGAATCAGAGGGAGAAATAGAGGCAGACAAAGGGAAGAGAGAGAGAAATATATACCTCGAAAGAGGGAGAGAGCGAGAGACAGAAAGAGACGGATGTACAGCGAGGAGGAGTGCTCTTTCCCAGTTTTTTTTTATTTTGTTGTCGGTGTTGGAGGTACGGCTGTGTTCCCGTCCCCGCCCCCTGTTTTTTTTTCACAAACGCACGCGCGTTTTGTTGGCGTTGACAACCGTCCTCGTACCTCGGCGTTGGTGGCATCCGAGACGAACGAATAACGAAGGTGCAGGAAGCAGAAATTCTCGCAACTATCTTCAGGGCCTGGACGGTTGGGAGTACACTAGAACCAAGTGAAAATGAAGGCCCCAACGGTCTTTTGTTACCCTGCTCGAAGTACGTACCACTCCACTACAACAAGTAGGTTGGTTTTCATCTCGACCTCTCCCTCTCTTCAAAGGCAGGTGTCGTTTTTTTTTTTCCCTCTCTTGGTGCGCAACTAAGCAACAGAGTGGAAGCAACAGAGAGCGTTTTTGGCATGATCGGCCTGACTAACGGGGCCAATCTGCTCACCGATCGATTGGCACGCCCCCCGCGAACACCGGCAAATACAAACCTCTTCCATGTTGGACGCAACGAAAAAACTCAGGTGCATGAAGCCCAACAGCGAAAAAGCGGGCGACCTGTTCGTGACCCCGATGATGCTGGAGCAGCTAAGGTACTCGGGCCTCCTGGAGGTGTGCACGATTCGAAAGATGGGTTTCCCCATCCGCAGGGTTTTCGACGAGTTCATGCAGCGCTACGGGTGCATCTCTCCCAGCGCCACCAACATCGACAGCCTGCTCTCGGACCTTGTGCAGAAGGTGCGCAACCTTTCCTCCTGTAGCAGTACCTATAGCCGTTACACTGAAGGTTTTCTGGTGTCCGACGATGCATGTACAAGTATTCTATGAATTACCGGGACTTTCGTTTTCTAATATATGTTATCGCTCCGTCCCGGCGTTGTAGGGATGCGAGGTCAATGGTTTTCCGACACAACAACATGCATGTACACGAGCACCCCTAACCCCCCTTGAGGAAGTGGTTTGAAAAGGCGGGAAGTGATATCGTTAGGATAGATAGACTAGGGAAGACATGTTTGAGCCACCTTTTGCAAAGTAGCGAGGAACGATTGGCCATCGGTGATGGGTTCTTTGGGAACAATGCTCCGTCCTCTCGAGGACGCGTGGTCAATGGTCTAACCGCTAAGGCATATGCAAAACATAAGAGTGCCCCCCCCCCATCCCCCCAAACCGCCTTATTTCTTGTTCGCAGCGCATCCTGGACGAAATGAAGTTCGCCAAGGGGCACAGCAAGGTCCTCATGAAGAATGAGCAGGCGTCGGCCCTCGACGTGGCGAGGGAGAAGGTGCTCGAGAAGTACGCCCTCATGTTGCAGAGGCTGGCGCGAGGCTTCATCGTGCGGCGCAGGCTGCTGTTCATGCGCAAGGTGCTCCAGGGGCTGCACGACGCCATCGCCAAGCGCAGCGACACGCTCCTCGCCAAGTGGTTCGCTCAGGTGGGGATGAATCGCGTTTGTGAGTGTGTGTGTGTGTGTGTTGTCGTTTAGCATCGACCGCGCTAACCGGCTGACCGATGAAAAGACGTCAGTGCCAGCGAGAACAGAAAATTTGTTCTTCTGAAGGCCATGATCTAGGACGTCGTGAGGGGGGCGTCATGGGGGAGGTTATGCGATGTGTGTGTTGCCTTTCTGTTTCGCGCTCGCTCGTCGCCAAAGTGGTTCGCTCGCTCGGTGGGAATGATACCTGTTGCTCCGCTGCTCGTTTTTGTGTGCGCTGTGTATTTTGCCCAATTGTTTCTGTTGTCCGTGTGTGTTTGGTGTTTGAGGTGTTGTCGGGGGGTGTGCATCGTTTCGTTACTCTTGGTGTTTTATTGGAGTGTGCGCGCGCCGCGGTTTTTCGACACGCGTCGATGATGAGGGCCGTCCCCGTCTTATTGGTGGTACGCAGGTGCATGCGATGATAAGTTTAGTTCATCCCGCACAAGGCGTGGAAATCTCATCACCGACGCGTGTCGAAAAACCGCGGCGCGCGCACACTCCAATAAAACACCAAGAGTAACGAAACGATGCACACCCCCCGACAACACCTCAAACACCAAACACACACGGACAACAGAAACAATTGGGCAAAATACACAGCGCACACAAAAACGAGCAGCGGAGCAACAGGTATCATTCCAACCGAGCGAGCGAACCACTTTGGCGACGAGCGAGCGCGAAACA